AACCAGAAAGTGTTAAGACTCAATGTGGATGGCTACAAAGGTAGAACAGCAAAGAAAGTATGAATGGATTGTGTGAAAGAGGATATGCTTAAGAAAGGATTCAGATATGACGACTGATAGAGATGTATGGAAGAGCAGTACATACTGTGCTGACCCTCCGTAAGGGATATGGGCAAGTGGATGATGGTATACCTCGATAGCGCTGTACATAAACTTTAGTTAACATGATCTCTAAATTTAACCATCTATGATAATAAGGATATTGCAGTTGAAGAAATTTTGAAAGTTAAAACAAGACAATTTCAGTTTATAATTTGTTACCAGATAGTAAAACTACAAAACGTACAACATTTAACTGGATCTCGAAGGCAACTTTATGGGCGTATCTAGTGTGGAGTTTAGAATGCATCATAGTCGTTAAAGGCAAGTGAAGCAGTATTTTCTCGTCTTTCTAGCAATTTATGTCACTCATGAAATGTATACCTTTATAAATAACATCTATCATTTTTACTTTCTTTTAATTGTTAAATTCTATTTTTAAATGAGATAAGGTGAGTGTACCAGTAATTGATAGTTTAGTAACATTAAAGCGGTATTTTCTTCGAATTCTAGTAGAAACATTTATTTAGAAACCTTTTAAGGTCAGTTAACAATCAGTTCTTCAGCAAACTATCTTATACCTTTTTCATTTAAAATAAATCACTTGTCACATTTGTTTACTGCAATAATTCTCATTAACTTGTAATCTTTTAGTTGGCCGAGAGAGACTTACCAATTTCCAAGACAATTCAAACAAACGATTCGACGAAGTGATCTATAATATAATATTTCTGAGCATTCTTATTCCGCACTTCCTTTTGCCAATTGCGTCATGGCGCCACGGATCAGAAGTCGCCATCTTTAAAAACATGTGGACTCATTATCAAGTAAATTTAACAGATTTAATACAACTAAACTAAATCTAACTTAATAATCTGAATTCTAAAAGGAATAACGAATATACCTTAACAATTTTTCAGTTGAAATATTTGAAAATTACGGGATCGCCTATCATTTTTCCTAACCTCTATTCTTTAACTTGGGCTCTATGTATATTTTCATGGACATTAAGCATTGCGGTCACTTTGTCCCAACATTATCTACAGAACGACTTTGAGCTGTGGCATTCGTTCGCTTACTATCATATTATTGCGATGCTGGATGGATTCTGTTCATTATGGTATGTTATAGTCCACGAATTAGGGGAACTAGCACTAGCTCCTAGATTGAGATAAATATCCGATTTCTAGATAACAAGCATATCCTATTGACTTGTCTCCTCAACAAAGCATTGACAATAAAAGAGAGCAACACAAATCGAAGCTGCACATACACGACAAAATCAATTTAAGTTTGTAGTTGCTTGTTTTCAATATTATTGAATACAATAGAAACTAACACAAGTATACATACTTTAATTCACTTTTTAAAACAAACACAGGTTAGAAAATTCTTAAAGAAATTAAATTGTAGCAACGACGCAATCAAATAAAACAATTGAAGGCTTTAAAATTATATTGCCGTCGCATAGAAATCGATCACAGCTAAAATAAATAATTGTACAAATAATTCACTAAATGTAGATCATTGTAGTATTTCTATAGATAATGTTTTATCAGGTACATAAACTGCAATGCTTTCGGAACGGCTTCAAAGGGTTTGGCAACAAACTTGCACAAGGCACTCAAAGCGGAGCATCCTGCTTTGAAACTCGCGCAGTACCGACATCTATGGGTGGATTTATCTCATATGATGCAACAACTAGGTAATTTAATAAAAAAAAACATAAGTCAATAGCTTTCGCCCGCGACTCCGTCCGCGTGGTATTAAAAAAAAAACAAAAGTGAGTAACCTATGTGTTCTTCCAGACTATACTCTTCATCTATACCAAATTTCATCGAAATCCGTTCAGCCGTTTAGGCTATAAACTCTAGCAAACATCCATCCATCCATCTAAACTTTCGCATTTATAATATTAGTAAAATAGTATGATGTATGATTTACAAAGACACATATAAAGGTTTATTAAAATACATAAGCATCGATTTCAATCGTTAATTTTGTATGCCGAAAAATTCTTTAAAGCATATTATTATCATAGTTCTTATATTTTAAAAGAGTGTGTCAGCTGTAGAATACCACGGTTAGATACGAAATTAATATACATGAAAGGGGAAATTATAGAAGTAATAAAATCGAAACAAATAACATCCTTTCTTTGCCTTTCAAATTTGTGAAAAGTGCTGCTTCATGCGTTTATTTATAAATCAAGAAAAAAATATTATCAAAAGAAAAAATAAATTGAGCATATTGAAACATCAAATAAATGTCCACACAAATATATTTATGAACGTTTATTTTCAGGGCGAGCGTATTCGAATATGTACGGTATTTATTGTATGGTTATATTCTTCACGACCATCATTTCCCTCTACGGTTCTCTTTCCGAGATATTAGAGCACGGCGTCAGTTATAAGGAAATGGGATTATTTGTTATAGTCGGCTACTGCATGACCCTTCTTTTCATTATATGTAATGAAGCGTACCACGCCTCAAGAAAGGTTAACTTTGTTATATTTCAGTAGATTACATTCTCATTCCATATTTTCGGAGATTTATTTTGTTTACACATACATTTTGTAGTCTGGACCGTATTTTTTTTTTAATTCAATTATTGTTGAGAGTACCATTGAAAGAAAAAAAAGAACGGAACCATTTATGTTCTTTTATGTGCATAATTGAATACAGAAAGTGACACCTGGCTCACTTTTACTTTTTTATAAGAAATTTATGCGCTGCAAACAAGAAAATTGGTTATCTAATTTTATTAAAGGAATTGCTTACAAACATTTCCAGGTGGGATTAGAGTTCCAAAATCGCTTGTTGAACGTCAATTTGGGAGCTATAGATCGAAGTGCACAACGAGAGGTTGAAATGTTTCTAGTTGCTATTGCCAAAAACCCGCCCATTATGAACCTGGACGGCTTTACTATTATTAACCGTGAACTTTTTACAGCGGTAAGCGTTTTTATTTAGATTTTTTTTTCAGTTATAAGTAAAATAATCTTACTTCTTACAAATATAATGAATGAGAAAGTTTTGATGTATGGATAGATGTTTGTAGCCTAAACTGCTTAACGGATCTCGATGAAATTCGGCATAGATGTAGAGAATAGTCTGGAAGAAGACATAGGCTACTTATTTTAGCATTTCAGTATTCCACGCGAACGGAGTCGCGGGCGAAAGCTAGTTTTACTTTACGTGTATTCTAGCTTAGGTTAAATTTCTGTAGTAAGGTTCCTAACAAACAAGAGAGTTACAGGGAGAAGAGATAGGGTGTAGGCAATTTAATGTTTTAAGTACTTATTTTACTATTTTTTCTTTCAGAACATTTCCTACATGTCTACATACCTAATTGTACTAATGCAGTTCAAATTAACATTGCTGAGGCAAGGCACAAGAAAGGCGATCAAAGCTATTGTTAATACAATTTTTAATATGACGACTACAGCAAGCGAAGGAATATACAGTGATTAGAAAATGTTAAAATCAGAGTAATAAAAAGAAAATCTTAGTACAATTAGCGTATCTTTCCGTAGTTATATCTGTAATCACATATTTTTGTTTACATTAGTAGCACAATATAGATATATGATGACTAATTAATTCTTCTTTGTGTTTTTTCTTTTGAGTGGTTACATTAATTAGTGGTTGCTTATTCGTCTTATTATATTAAATTTAAGCATAATAAAAAATCAAAGTATTTTTAATGATTTATTACTTCTCTATACCAATTTTAACTAAGTAAAATTTCAATTTCATCCGTTTACTTTCCCTAAAAGGGATCAAAGGCAGAATTCGATTGATACGAACTAGCAGGGATTCTACTTCTTAACTACGTCTATAATTGTAACAATTTTAGACAATCCCTGAATCGAATATAACAATCAAATTTATACGCATTAATTTGCCGCCCTGTTCGTATTCGAATTGCTTTATGGTATTTGATTCACCATCTGTTTATCGTTAACGAGGCGTCAGGTGAAATACCATCGTAATTTGTATGTAATTGTAGGCATTGAGGCAGTTTGGAGCCATTTTCAGAATAATTTATACGAAATTACAATACGAAGCTTAATATTCAACGATCAATTGTCCTAACAATGCTCTTCGATTTATAATAAAGTGTATCTTGTAAGAATTTTTTATTGTAGATCATTTACTCCCTGTAATATATAATCTTGCGAAAAGATTCAGGGACATTTTAAATGACTTTGGGCCTTATAGTAATACTAACTTTTGCCCGCGACTTTGTAAAAAAATCTAATAAGTAAGTTATGTTTTCTTCCAGATTCTTTTCTCCATCTATGCCGAAATTTTGCCAAAATCCGTTGAACCGTTCCGAAGATACCTTATGTCAAATATCCATCCATCTAAGTTTCGCATTTATAATATTAGTAAGATTTGTAAGATATCCGCTGTTACTAAGGAGTTTTTGATAGTCATTCTCTTTGCAGCCACTTTTAAGAATCATTATATTCTTAGTACAGTAATGTGGCAATTAAAGTTTCTGGCACTTTCGCTTGTTCAAAAGACATTATCGCACCCGCACACAAGATAGAACATTTAGATTTGAAGATTGAATTCTCACAGAGAAATTCTCAGAGCAGCTTACCGATTCTGTTAATGACATATCTCACTGGTTTGTTTCACGTAGACTCTTAACCTTACAAACGGTTGGCATTGACATAATTTCTACAAGAGTTCAACTAGTTATGATTAATAGTTATAGGTTTTATTAAAACTTTTGAAAACCTACACTTCTCTATGTTTACTTCAATTGTATAAAAACTGTTATTTTCAATTTTTTCTTTTACGTATGAATATATCTGCCCGTCGTAGTCTTTGCCTGTTACGAACACCGAACACTGATATGGCGGCCATCTTGTGAATCTGTCAGTTCAATTTGATTCGCGGTAGGGTGCGCACGCGGCCGTGTGCTCGTTGGACGTCAATTTAATATCTAAACGATCTATAATTATTTAATGGAATTAATATGAATTGCAATATTGGGGATTATAAGTACACCAAGTATTAAGGCAATTATTATGTTGAAATAACTGCAAAACCTATAAGAGAATGTTATAAATTCCCGAAAATACTTGATATTAGTCGAAAGACTTCTTTTCTATATCTTTTATCCACATCGAAAAGAGGAAAGAATCATTCAATGGAAACAATTGAATAAACTGCGTAATTACTGAACCGTTTGGATAAATGTTTTTCTAAAAACTGCACTGCGGGGCATAAGCTATTTTCATTATTATATTTTTTAAGTCTGCGCAAACAAAGCCGCAATCAAAAGCTAGTAGGTAACGAGATAAGATAAATAGAATATTATCTTTTCTGTTTGAATTTCAAACGTATAATTTTCATTAATTACAGCATTCATAATAAACGCAAGGTTTGTAACTGAACTAAATAAATAGAGTTTCCTTTTACATATTAATGAAAGTACAATATTGTTCTCTGTTATAAAAATGTTTGTACAGATGTTGATACTCGTAGATGGTATTTTCAACGATTTAATTTTGAAAAATACAAGACATTTATTTTTATTTTAACTATCGAAGTAACGATTAGAGTAAAACATCGTTTTTATAAAAAGGTAAGGAAAGATATGTATTTTTGTATGTTTCGAAATAACTCAAAAACTTTATCGATTACAAAAATTCTTTCTCCATTAAAAAGTTACGATGTCGAATTTTTTTTTTTTTATAATTTTATGTGGGCGAAGTCGCGAGCAGCAGCTAGTATTAAACAAGAAAGCATATAAATTCAATAAGATCATGTAAGAAAATCGAAGCGCCAAAATCATTTATAAAATCATCAAGAAGGGAGTGATGACTGAGATGACGGATGATAGAGTGCTTTGGAGGACGAAAACTTGGTGCGTCGACCCTACGTGAGTAGGATAATGCAAGGGAGATGATGATGATTTATTAAATGAAAAAAAAAAACTTTTTCATGTCCATTCTAGATGTTAAATTGAATAAAAAAAGCTTCGGCTAGTTACGTCGAATTAAACTGTTATGATATATTGTGTTGAGTGTTTGTTGGTTACTCTGGCAACAATCCAACATCTCTAACTTACAATGTGATTATGTTTTCTGCTACAAATGTACGTAATTTGTCTACTAAAAAGAACTGTCTACAAAATCATATGTGTAGTCTGTGATTCTTCCTTGTTGAATATTTATTGGATTATGTTTTTATTATCTTATTCATTCGAGTTAATATGAACATGGGCGACTAAGAGTATTTCCCTTCGTCATCGTTTAGCTTATTCAAAAATGGGTTTAGAATTTTTGAAGATGGTCTTCTGTTTAATCTTTTATATATTTCTTAGATAGCTAATAATGTCAACATGTGTATAGAAATTATTGCCTCTATTTATTAAAGAACTAGCTGTTCCCGTGCGGCTTCATCCGCATGAAATTATAAAATTACATAAATTACTGTTACCATTATTATGGTAACAGTAATTATTACCTTGCTTCCTTGATGTTGGCAGCATGTAGTTTATGGTCCCTTTCCCCTTTTTGTTTTTTTTTATCAAATATATAGCCTAAAACGTGTCGTAAGTGTAGGGCTTTTTATTAATGACAAAGTAATCTGTGTTTACGATTTATTATATTGGTATATAAGGGTGACAAATACAAGCAAAAACATTAAAAAATAATCAAGATCTTTATTTTTAATTTTTGCTATGTAACGAAAAACCAAAGTGATCCATCATAATTATCAGCTTAAGGTTGTCCACTGCACAATATAGGATACCCATATCGATAGCGTGCGTGCTTCTCCCAAGTGTTCAATACAGAACAAAATTTAAAGATTAAAAAACAACGGAACCCTATTCTGTTTGTGTTGGCGGTGCGATAGAATTCATCATTCCATGTTGCCGCGTGGGTGTCGTAAAAGTCAACTAGAGAAAAGGTCACACAGATATAAATATTAAATAACTGAAATACTTTTACTACAGTTAATCTACAACATCGTTACCAAGAAATAAAAGAATTATCAGTAGAGCATTAAAACAAATTGCCATGTAAGAAAATTTACTAAAGAATATTAGAAAAACATAGAGATATGTAAAAAATAGGCAAATTTGACTAAATTGTGCATCTAAGAAAGAAAGCCAAAAAATTGTACGCCAGAACCAAAAGTTGGAGGTTATATTTTTCTAATTTTACCAACAACAGTAGAAAGTAAATGGCAAACATTGTAAAATATATTTTTTTAATGAAAATAAATTCTAATATCAAAATTTACCACAAGCTTTAGTATCGATGTTTCCTTTTCCACAAAATCATAGAATTTAAAGACGGTATCGCACAAAACAGGAAGTTTGCAAAAGGACAGATCCTTGCATAAAAATATATTGCAAAACGCAAATTTCTATCAACGGCGTTTTATCAGGAAATAGCTGAAGAGCTATTACGCAGACAGTGGCTTTTATATGTCGCTGGCAACTCGCGTGTTCCGACCATTTGTAATTTATGCAGATGAAACGTAGACTCTATAAACTGCGTATCAAACAAATTACCGTGATTTATTTCGGCATTTTTTAAAAATGACGCTGTCATTAGTGCATGAGAGTCTTTGATCGTTAGTTGACTTTGAGATGAATCACATCCATCAAATATTTAAAGAATGTCAGAATATAGCACGTTAATTTGTGAATAAATTAATTTTATAAGTATTTTGTCCAATCTGCGATTTCGGGGCAAATCACAAACTGTCGGTGTACACAATTCGCCGGCGACATATACATAAAACTAGGTTGCGCGGCTCCACTCGTCTAGGGCGGCGGCCCAATCCACAGGGGGTTGGATCGGGTGTCGTATCGTAGCAACCGACAGCATCCCTGTCAGTGTGCTGCCGTCTTTTGCCCAGGACGGTCGTGTCTGGCCCTGTCCACGCGCTTCCGATAACCATTCCGTATAAAAACAACCCAACCGCCCGTTTATAAGTGAAAACTTTGAAGTGAGCCAAGTGGAACATTGACTGGCACAATGTTCATTCTTTTCGTTCTACTCACTGTGTATTTAATAACGCTGTGTCACGCCTGAGATGTGCGTGAAGTTACAATGATGGATTTCAATCTATCCAAGCGAGAAGAGGACGTTTCTGCTATTTAGGATTTAGCGGTAAGCATCAAATTTTATGAGTAACTTGTCTACACTGATTATAGTTTTATTAATGAAATAAATTTAATGTATTACAAACAGTTATCATAAGAAATTGAATTTTAATAGGAACTTTGAGAACAAAGACATTATTTTTGGTATATTAAAAAGTAGGTATTATCAAAGTCTTTAATTGGTGATATACAGATTTACTTAACTAATAATTGATAAAGTTATATGTAGTTTTGTTTGACATAATCTTATACAAAGATGTTTGGTCCTTATATAGATTTAATCCATAAATAATAGGTACGGGGTCCTTTATGATCATATCAGCTTTCTTGTCGCGATATCATTGAAAAAACAAATTAATTCAATCGAACCCAGGTCTATCTATTAATCTTATTTGTTTATACTGTTCAAGGTTTGTATTATAAATATATTTCTCCTTATACTAGAATTAGCTTTATTAGTGTTTTAATTTTCTATTAAGAATTGAAAGAAATATTTTAGTATCATAATAACGAGTAGTACAGTATCCCGGCAGAATTTTATTGACTTCTAATAGAACAATAAACACCTTAAATCCTGGAAAATGTAGAGCACAATGTCTATTTTTTATTTAAGAGCAAACATTCTTAATTTAAAATAATCGATTCGGGGTTCTCACTGTGATAACTTCCTCTACTTTACATAAAAAATCGTGAATATTTACCTACATTTTGTGAATACACGTACAACTTTATTCACTTTAGATTATTAACAAATAAAATATCTTCGAATTTCTATACATTATTACATAGAATTCGCGCAAAATTAAGTAAGGCAAATCAAAGTGATTGACCTTTGCACAATAAAGCCTCCAACGATATATTGATAGGAATGAAGACCAAAATAGATCGGAACATCGAGGTTGGTGGCCTCTTTTTATCAAAGCCGCTTCTGAAAGCGCTAAGGCACTTCCTATTCAGTGAAAGGTTGAGTTATTCCGAATATTATTGGATATTGGTGAGAACATGCAATAAATTTCTAAGCGTTTACAAATTAAACATGTAATCATAATTTACCTTATATGGAAATATTCATAGCATTATTATTACGTATTAGAACAAACTGATTTTATGACTTTTTTAAACTGGTTTCTTCTATGTTTGAAAAAATACTCTAGGTGTCGTCACGTAGTTTATCGATGTTGGTGTAACGTATATCGTTATTTTTAACCCTGCAATGGCGTCGTGCGACAATCCATCATCCTGTCATCTTTTGGCCTTAGCTAAACCGCACAACCCCAACTCTCTTACGCGTTGTTGGGCTACCTGTTTGTACTTAGTTTTATAACACTTGTTTTGATCATATATGTAAACATAATTATTTTTATTAATAGTATCTTCATAGACACATTTAATATCGATTCATCGTGCGAGTTCACTTTAATAACTCTGCAATCGATTAATCGGAGCGGCCAGTCTATGAGTTTTTAAATTTTATAAACGAATAGCGTTAATGACTTTACAAACTTAAGTCCAACTTTTCAGGGTTGCCATTATTTGTAGCCTATGAATACCGTGGACGGCATATAATTATCTAAAAATTCTACTGTCACTGTAAATTGATTTCAAATGAAATTTCTTGATTTGATTGATTGATTTCTAATTTGTTTACTAAATTTAAATCCATAGTATACAGAAAGGTATTTCATTTGTAATTATTCACTAAGATTCAATTAAAAGCGCATTCGCTACAACGAGGTAGGTCGAGAAGCACTTTCATGATTATGCATATCATCTTCATTTCAACGTTTGCGATTTGAATAATTGTTTAATTCAATTTGTACCGACGA